TGCGGGGAACTCTGCAAAAAACGCATCTTCGCACGGGCAGCCCGTGCGTTGGCCATTTATTTACTTATAACAAATATTTCTTTATACCCCTTACCTATTTTAATATCCTTTTTCTCTTTTTCACTGTTTCCTTTTTCTCCTGATATTTTCTTTTTAACCTTTAATAAAAGCTACGGCTCATTGTGCAGCGGAGATAGGAGAGATAGCAAATGGACAAAGCGAATCATGGATTGATGCCAGCATAGCGCTGAAAATTGTTCACGGCGAAGGTTTTTAACATGGTGGAAGGATGTACTCAAACACTTTTCTGTCTTTATGTGGAGGAAAGGGGACCAAACTGAAGGGGAGGCGGTAAAACTCTTCTCAGTTGCGGAAAAAATGCGATACTGAAGCAGCACTTGACCAAATTAAAGAACTGAAGTACACTTTACCTGTCCAAGAAAGTGCTTATCCTCCAGTTGCTTCAGACACCCTCGTACTCCATTTGAGAAAGAACTGTCAAGGCCAGAATCCTCCCTCTGTTTGTGGAGGGGTCCTGGGCCATAGCACATATCAACAGCATTATCCACTGGCAAGGCTTTATTTCAGTTTTGTGCTCTTTTTGATTTTGCTTAAAAATACCTTCAAATTATTCCGGAGGCTTCCTCTTCCGAAGATTGTCTGAAAGAAGGCTGATAGCGAGTTTGACTCTCTCCTATACCTGATTCACCGATGAAACGAATGAACAACACTGGCGAAATCGAATTTTCGACCTTTGTACGACAATGAAGCAACTTACGCTTATCTGTCCTGCAAATTAGCCACATGACTGTTCAGAATATGGCGGGCAGAAAGCTGTACTGGTGATTCCAGCTGCTACCTGGATGTATTGCTCGCTCTGTATCTACAACCAAGGGATAAAACACAGACTGAACTACGTCGTAAAATGTCCTCCAGCACATGACATGTAAGGCCAGTCTCTCTGTTCTACTGTTTCACTGTACTATGCCCCCGAGCAAAAAGAACTACAGCAGCTAAGAACCAGGAAATATTGTAAATTGGTGTTTTCTGTGTATTTCAGAACAAGAAGCAGTTGCTTGGGTTGTGCTGTGAGACGTTGCGCCACCGAAATTTGCTGGACAGAATTTTGGAGATTAAAGAAATGCAAGATTTGCTCAAGAAACCGAATTTCGACTACTCCTTGCTCTGTGTGTTACTTTATGAGTATGTGTTTGGTCATGGATTACGGTCAGTTAATAAATTATATTCGGCGCCGATCCTTCAACGAGCTGCTTACATCGATCAGCAGGTTTTTTGAATAATTTTCAATTTCGTTAAGTCTGTCTTCTACATGCAACCGCTGTAGTAATCCAGTGATGTATGCATAAAATGCAATAATTTTGTTATTAATTTGCCCACATCATTGCTCTTTTGTACAGTTATAAGGCTTTGCATTGCTTATATTTCTGTTTTATGGAGTCTGGTTCTTACATTTTTTTTTTCATTTTTCTTTGTTTTGGATAATGTTTTTTACCATTTTGCCCATACTCTCAACAAAGGTATCTTTGGCGAGCAAAATTTTTCCGTCTTTGTTTACTTTCTAGACTACGTGGTTTATTGAAAGGAAGGGGAGGCAAGGAGCACTTTTTGAATGAAAGATTGGCATTTACCCTTTGGGTTCTGCCCCGGTTTGAGGAAAGTTGAATTTGCTATTTCAGTCTGATTTTTTAAAAACATTTTAGTTGGAGACAGTGAAAGCTGTTGACCGGGTGGAAGAATCTGATGCGCAGCAGTGTTCAGCCGCTGCACTCTATCCGAGATATGCCCGAATAAATACTTTGCGCTGGTCTGTTGATGATGCTCTTAAGGGTATTTCATTTTGATCCATTTTTTTATTACTAATACGTTAAAAGCGTGCCAAGACGGGATCATGTCTGTGATATTTATATATTTATATATATAAAGACCATCCCCAGGTTATAGTTATGGGTGCCTCATCTCAGTGTTTTTGTTATGATTCTCTCACACACTGGGCGCAGCTATACCAGGTCCTTCGCTCCAGGCTTAAATGCCTCAGTTAACAAATACTCATTGCCTGTTCGTTTCATATTATGTCACACTTCCAGGAGCCACTCGACTGGTCTTTATTTCCCTTCAAGTAAATCCACCCAGCGGTTGCGCGACGTTCATCAGTTCTCCATATGTCGTTTACCTAATGCGACCGTCATACTGACGAGGTCCAGTCGCAGTGCCGGGTTAAGACGTATATGACTTAATGGACCGAAACGTCTTAGCTCGCGCTTATTCTCTACCTACACTACTCTTATTTACTTCTACATCCCATCATCTCTACCTCCAGGATTGACCTGGAGGCTGAAACCTAATGCAGAGTCTGATTGTTTTTATGATAATGAAGAGGCACACCGTACATCCTTCGCTCCTCCATTGCCTTCTGACTCACAGCCAGCACTCATTCTTCCATCTTCGTCATTGACCACGTTTCGCATCCGTAAGTACTTGTCTTCAGCGCAATCTTAATGAAGAGATGGGCACGATCTTTCAGTTTGATACTTGGAGGAAATCGGCTATACTGTGGAATTTGCGCCATCTCTCAGCTTCTTTGTTTGCAATTTTCAGCTGGAAATTGCGACGCTTTCTGACAAATGTAGACGTACCTGTCAAATTCTTCCAGACCAGCATTTCTATCTGTAACCTTGCTACCGGCATACCAGTGCTTTTTTTCACATTCGTCTTCGATACGTTAGTTTTTCTGGCTCACTTCCTTACTTCGTGCGTTGAGTTCCTGCACATCATCATATATACATAACTTTAGTTTTACATCCTCGTATATATATATATATATAAACCGGGATTTAATTTTCTGGTGGTTTCCTGTACCATGCCTTTTGTCCTTAAGCACAGATCCATTTTCTCGACTCTTCGACCATTCCTTTCCAAGTTTATGCAATTTCGATTTTTCCATTTAAAGTGTGCTGAAATCACCTTTTTTGCCGTTCTGCAAAATGTAGTGGCAATCTTTCAGCGCTACAGGATGAAGGATGGATTGTTTCAAATATGAAATCACAAGAAGACACTAACTGGTACAGAAACGCTGTCGCATCAATGACCGAATGTCAAGTCTACATTGATAACCATATCAGAACGTTGCTACTGTTTCCTCCTAATACAGACCTGCACGATCACTGGATGGTTGTGGACGGGTATTTGATGCTTCAGGATAAGGTAAGCATCTTACTTGAAAGGTTCCTTGCTTCAAAAAATTAAGGATGAAGCCCCTACCATTTGAGGATACGTATGCGTGAAAAACATTTTCCTTTAGGATGATAGGCAGGATATTTTTCCTACAATTATCAGTTTATGCGTTTACTTCCCTTATTTTTGATGATATTTTAGCTTAAACTTTGCAGTCATTTTATGGGGATCTTTGAATTACTGTTTAGTAGAAGTAGAAGTACAGAATTACGTCTGGAAGTAGTCGAGCACGCGGCGGTTTCTTCAGAAAAATCGAAAGCCTGTATTGCCGAACAAAATAAACTTTTTGTATCACATGCTTGCCAAGATATTTTGGAGAATCTACTGTATCAGTACGTGTTAGATTCATATGGGCAAACATGTTTGCGTTTCCACGATCTTAAAAATTATCGTGTCAGGACATATTCTCTTGGCATCTTAGGTAAAACACTGGGTTTGTGATGCATCAAAAATATGTGATCTCTTTTAAGGCCAGTTGTTTGCCGGGCCAAATTTTGAAGCCAAAATCAGGATCTCAGATCTTCGACGTTTGCGCAGCACCTGGCATGAAAAGCACTCATCTGGCAGCAGTACTGCGAAATGAAGGGTAGGTGTCAAATAGTTCACTGAAAAAATTCCACTTCTCTTTCTCAAGCATTTGTACTACATCTCGAAATTAGGTCCAAATTTTGTCTGCTACTGGCTCTTTTGAATTTTTTCACTTTCAGCAAAATTTGGGCAATAGACAGAGATAGCGATCGTGTGAAAACAATGCGCAAAATAGTGAATAGAGCAGGCGCAACATGCATCAGCATACTTCATGGAGACTTTCTCCGCATCGATGTAACAGATAGGAAATTTTCTGAGGTATCCTTCATAATTCTCTTCACTGCTACTGTAATTCTTGGCTGTTATAGCCTGGCACAAATCTGTAAAAGATTTCTGAATCAGTTTTTTAATTTTTCCTAGTTCTGCCAAGTTGCATTGTATTTGAGGTACATTATGCATTGGTAGATCCTCCTTGTAGCGGTTCTGGTATTGTGAAGCGTATGGATGAGCTCACTGACGACAATGAAGCAAAAAATTTCAAGCGATTGCAGTCGTTATCGAATCTTCAGGTTTTTCCTACGTTCCTTTATACTGTCTAAATAAATAATAACCCAGGCACCGCATCGTGATTTGGAAATGACAGAAGACTAGAGTGTGCCTAGATACATTGAGTGCAAACTGTGGTAACTCTGGACTTGACGAGAAGGCGTCGTAACATATTTTTTCCAGTTAAGTGATAAAACGTTCGTAGACTGAGTGATAGTGTAGTAAATTTTAGTACATACGCATCGGACTACAAAAAAAAAAAAAAAAAGCACGGAATACATTCTGTACAATCAGGGCTTGGGGAGAAATGTAAGTGAAAAATAAAAATGGGCCTGAACCTTTGACAGCACCGATTTGGCCCAGGGTGGCGATGTATCAGCTAGCGGTGATCGGTTAGCTGATAAAAATAACCAAGAATCTCATTTGATCCGCGAAATAATCCTTTGGCAAAATGGGGCAGCTGTGGGGCGTTATTGATAAAGGAACTCCCCTATGGTGTCTTAACAAAAAATCGACAAAATACTTCTCATGGGAATGCCAGCCCTCCCCCCTTTATTTCCTATAAGTTGCTTACGCAGAAACGTTTGCTATCGTCAGCTGAACGCTGCTTTATAAGAGATGAAGGCTTTGATAGATGCTACGAGGCGATTGGTAAGGGCTGTTCGACAAAAAAACCTTTTTTCAGAATGTTTGTATTAGAGAATAGCCTTTTATTTTTATCGTCAAAACTGTATTTTTTTAGGCCATGCTTCTGAAACATACAATGAAATTACCAAATTTGAAAAAAGTGGTCTACTCAACTTGTTCAATTTATGAAGAGGAAAACGAAAAAGTTGTCGAAGAGGTTGAGTTTTTTTTTCCGATACTTGTTAGAAGTAGCTCCTTTTCAGTTAGAAAATTTCAGAGGCTGATTTTTTTTTTAGTATTTCTATCGGTTAAATTGTTTAAACTCCTTTCGCTTTAATTGTTTCCTGTTGCTTCAAAAATTTCTATTATTTCCTCTTTGTATTTACAAAAATTTTTGTGAATTAAAGATGTTTGCAGATACTCAGTGACGAGTTGCTGAGTGAACAATTTGAATTGGCATGTGCTATGCCGAAGTGGCCACATCGAGGCAAACCAGAGTATCCTTTTGGCGATAAATGTTTGCGTGCATCTTCTGATCTTGACCTAAGTAACGGCTTTTTCGTTGCTCTTTTCAAACGGCGGAAAAAATGAGAGAGCGATGAGTGCAGTAAAGCATATTTTGCAGTGGAAAACCTTTGGAAGTTTTTGTTACAAGGTTGTCCCTTTCAGATTGCACCCTTTTCTCTACGCATGGTTGATGAGTTTTTTCAAAAATTAAGTTATTTAGTAAATTTTTGATTGTCTGTTGAAAATGAACAAAATTTGATTACCTGATGATATGTTTGTTGGTGCTGTTTTTTTGTAATAAAATTTTGCCTTTCATCGTTTTCAAAGCAGCATTTGAAGTGAAATCTTTCTTGCATACTTTAGCAGTAATGCAGTGGTCTGCATATTGCCATGACGTTACTACGGGGGCAACGCAACGTTTATTTGAGCTTTTCGTTTTTCTGGGAATTTTAGCGGCCATAGCTTTTTTTTTGTTTTTGTCGAGGAGGTAAGAATTAATGATTTTTTTTCAATTTCCGGTTGGTTGCTTTCACAATTTGTCCGGAATGGTTTGCATCCCATGCATATTGTTGCCGATCGTGCTAGCTATCTACATAAAATTCATCCAGCCGATTATATTCCGACTTTTACCGGAATCGTGGAGGACAACGTTTGATGCTTTGCTGTATCCGACATGCCCAGTTCCTGTAACTCAACCTGTTCCTACTGAAGATAAAGCTTCAACGCATGATCAGAGTGCGCAATTGGCCGAGTGTGATGCTGGCGAAGGCAAGAAAGATATTTAGTATTCCTGGATGTCCGCTTGATACAGCTGCAAGTTATGCGATCTCCGGTTATCACTGATAGATATGTTCGTCTCCTGTGCCCACACGTGTACGGTGCTCATTTCATACATAGATGTTTTCGCTCATTATGGTTAGTGAGGTGCACAGGCGACGTACTTTTTTCTGCAAAGACAGCACTAGGATCGTTAAATAATGGCGGAAGTTCGAGGGCCAAAAAAGGAAAATTGGAATTGGTGCATGGTTCTGGCGAGGGATGTGAAATGAGCAGAAATATGCTTAATTCAAATGCAAGTTAGTTAGGTTGCAGCCTCCAGGTCAATCCTGGAGGTAGAGATGATGAGATGTGGAAGTAAACAAGAGTAG